GCCGCAAAGGTGCTTTTCGGCAGTTCATCGCGACACGTCCAGGTGCCGACAAAGTGGCTTCCCAGCTCACCACCTCGCCTTCTCTGTCGCTCACCTGGCCCAGTCCCATCAGTATCAAGTCTGAGCTGTCCCAAACCGTCCTTACCTTGGGTGATGAAGCCCACTCTGGCTCATACCACGGCTCTTACGGCCTCATACACGCCCGTTTCACCCACAGACACCGCCGGCACGCACTCCCACTTCACACATGCTCAAGCACAACCCCACCAAAGCACAGCCCTGCTCAGAGTAGTCGTGAACCACCCTTTGGCAGCCGTGGAAGCCCCACAGCCGCTGCTTCTCTCGGCTCCTCTCAATGCGTGTCGTGCACCACCCCACGACAGCCCACCGAAAGAGCACTGGTGCTCTCCGCATGCGCCACCGATGTGATTGTGCAACGTCAGCCACCTCGCCTGAGGTAGTTGCGACTGGGGACACCGGAAGCTCGACGCTCGAGCACGTGTGGCAAAGTTTTGCGACATCCTGCGACTCGACCCCCGAGGGCTGCCGGCCGCCGACAGCAATACCGAGACCGGATTGCGCAGCGAGTTCGGTCCGAATGTGCCCAGGGCCAGCCCGTGGACCGGAACGGACGGCAGGTACCCATGGGACCGCTGCGGCGGGCCTGGGAGGCGCCACGAGTCCCAATGACGCACGGTCGGCGCAAATCCCCTGGAAATAGGCCTTTAAAGGCCAAGGTAGGCCGCCTATTGAAATCGCCCGAAGCGCTAGCGCTTCGCTAGCGCAAGCTCGCACGGCCTCTCACGCTCCGCTGCTGCCCTCTTGGCGGCTCTCCGCCCGCCAGCTCGACCAACTCGACCGCCGAGAGGCTGGGATTGGCCGGCGGCGCGACGCGTGGCCTCTGCTGCGGCCATCTCGGACGCTCAAGCGGCGCCAGCCAGCGGCTCGGCCGCGCATCCTTCACACACGCCGCCACGACCAAGCTGAGCGGGCCCGGTGTCGAGTCATGGTGCGAGATGCATGTCAGGGGCGGCTGT